CCGCGGATTCTCCTGGTCGAAGACGACCCGACTTGTCGACAGATTGGCGGCAAGTTCTTGCATTCATTTTCGTGCGTTGTGGATTCGGCACTCGACGGACTGCAAGCCGTCAACAGGATGCAGGAAGGAAACAAATACGATATGATCTTGATGGACATTATCATGCCCTCCTTGGATGGTGTGTCCGCCTGTCATATCATCCGACAATTCGACCGAACCCCAATCATCGCAATGACGTCCAACATTCGATCGGATGACATTCAGATGTACTTCCACCACGGCATGGATGATGTTTTGCCTAAGCCGTTCACGCGGAAATCACTGCTTGATATGTTAGAGAAACACTTGGCCCATCTAAAGATGATACCGCAGGGTATGGAGACGCAGCCGATGTCGGCGACGACTGCAGCGTCAGGGGCGGCGTCTTCGACGGCGCACTCGGTTCGAGACGATATGTCAGCAGGAGCTTCTCCGGCGGGATCAACTGGCACGTGGAATTCTCCCAGCCAGTACTCGGGAGTGTCACCAGTAAATCCCAATATGCATTACGCCGGGATGGCGCAACAACAACACTACGTGGATGCGAATGGAAATCCAACGTCCTTTCAAGCCGGACCGCAGACGCCCGTGGGGATGAGAGGTCCCGGCATGATAGCCCACCAACAACAACAACAACAACAACAACAACAACAACAGCAACACCAGCAGCAGCACAGGAGAGGTCAGTCGGAGATGGCTGGAGGAGCAGATATGGGAAACACGAATAAACGCCAACGTATATACCCACCTCAACAACAATCGATGGCCGCTCCTATGCGACAATGACTATAGCTCAATATTTAAAGAGACGGATCATAGCAAGAGGCATGTATAAGCTCTTGAGCAAATGGCCATGTTTCAAGAAGAAGACCTCTCAGTGGAGGGACCATCTTCAGTTACGGACATGCTATTCACCTGACTGTGCGACCTCATCTACTCTACGACTTTAGAGCCTCGACAGCACCGCACGACGTTGGGACAACATCGAGCGGCATCGGAGAGTGTCAGCCGAGTAAAAAAGGGTCCGTCAGCTTTCTACAGGGGTACACAGCGACCCATATCATGACTTGACGAGAGACATAGGGGTGGAAAAAGCCATTGGCGAGTTTTTGTTTGACGATACCTCTTCACGATTGATTATTGGATTCTGGGAAGGCCGCCGACCCTTCGGTGCCGAGTTTTGTCTGCGAGGGAAGCTAATATGCTTTGATTTTCTCGCGATCTGTGTGGATGGAGCCTGATGGTATGTGTGATGGTTGTCCTGGCCAACCAACCTCACGCTCTCGGGGAGATTTGGAAACAAATTCTGTGGCCCAAATATAGTGCAACAGGTGTTTTGGTGTACAGAAGAATCTAAAATCTAGTGCACTATAAGAAGATGTGGTGTGCAAAATCGTTCAGAGCAGTATCACAGACATAATATTCTCTTTTTCGGGGCCAATACCAACGCTGCGACTTTGAGTGGCTTGCCTATTCCATCAGATAATCCTGCGCGGGTGCTCATAGTCGCAGAGTCCTGATCCCAGCACTCTGGAAGAGCCGTACTTGTTCCAGCTGATGTAGCTATGGCCAATCTGGGGTCATGTGCATCAACAAATGTCACTAATCACAACGCAAACTTCAACCTTGGCGCGACCTCTTGCTCTCACCTCGCCTCCATTTCCTTCATCCTATTCTCTCCCTTTCCTTCTCCCACTGTTCCGGCGTCAAACATCTGGGCGTCCAGGCATGGATTGCCTTGATCTCGTCCTTCAACACCCCGTTGACTAACCTGCTCCTCGCCAACAGCGTTTTCTTCTCAAAGTCCGGGGAAACGATGATGGCGTTGAAGGCTTGTCCGCAGCCGCCCGACATATCTTCCATACTGATGTGGGTTATGTTTATGGATTGTTTGAGTTTCTCGGTGAGGAACTCCGGTGTGATGGGTGGAGAGGAGGATGCGGCGACTTCTGCGGCTTCGGTGTCTGCAGGGGCGGCCATGGGTGAGGAACTGCTCGAGGAGGAGTTTGTGAATGGGCGCGAGGTTGTGACGGAAAAGGGGCGCGAGAGAAGGGACTGTGGTCTGACTATTAGGCGCTGGGAGGATGTTGGTCTGGTGATGGTGCTATTTGCGCGGACGCTCGCAGTTGTTGCTCGGCGGGCAGCTTGCAATGCCGAAGCAGTACAGACTTGCATGGACACGGCTAATGCTGACAAGGTGGAAAGGGCGACGGATAACTGGCTGGATGTGTCTTAATACGGTGCTGTTGAGGGTTTCTGGTCTAATTGACAGTCGATTACTTATGTGCTGGAAATTGGAAATCAAGCCTGCAGGAGAATCCTCGGTAGCGCAGAGAGCGAGAGAACCGGGAGAACTCGTCGCAATGCGTCATTGAGTCTTTCGTCAGCCTCGCGCAGCCTCGCGCAGGGAGCTGTTCTCCAACTGCCAACGCGACAGCCGGTTAACTACAAATACATGCTTCGACCACAATGTAACTCGCTCGTTCATTGACTGTGCCAACAATGTGCTGCTTTGAAATAGCTTGCTGATGCTTCGATATCTTCTGCCTCAAGTTGTCCCGGTCCCAAAATTCAAGGCGCCTCTCATCTCAATCCGTTGTCGTAGGATGAGCACCTTTCAAAGTCAAGGCTACCATGTCTCCCCTTTCACCACCGCCGTAGTGTCCTCGATGCGCCGACTCTACCCCGAGAGCCTAGCAGACAAATCCTTCGACAACACCGGTCTGCTAGTCGAAGCTCCCTTTATCCCCTCCCGGCCTCGAAACCGCAACTCGGTACTGTTGACTGTCGACCTTACCCGCGCGGTCGCAGACGAGGCCATTGAGAATAGGCACTCGGTGGTAGTGGCCTACCATCCTATCATCTTCCGCGGCCTCAAGTCCATAACCGCGGACGACACCCAACAATTGTCCATGACACTGCTGCTTGCGCATGGTATTAGCGTATATTGTCCGCACACTGCGGTGGATATTGTTCCCGATGGCATGGCCGATTGGCTCTGTGATATCGTGACAGGGAAGTTGGAGGATCCAGAGCCAGAATCATATGTGGCAGACTCTCTTCCGTCGGACACAGAAGTTACAACGTCTGGAAGCGGTTCAGAAGTCGATTCCAGTACGTCTACAAAACCCACGTCTCCTTCCGCTGGTCACGATCAGGACGCAATGACTGACCCGTTTACCACTCCCAAAGCAAAGATGAAGCTCTCTCGCCCCAGCCATGTGCGCAGAACCTACTCCAAACCAAGCTTGCCGCTCCCGACATCTGATTTCCACGCCGGCGTCATCTCTCACACTCGGAGCGTCATCACGCCGTCCCCTCGCGCATCACTTGACATAGCGAATCAGTACACTTCCTCTGATGCCTACAATACTTCGAATACCGGAGCTGGTCGGTTGATTGAATTTGCTTCCCCACAACCCCTAACACTTCTGATCACCCGCATTGCTCACGCCATCGGCCTTCCCAAAGGCTTTGCGGTAGCCATTCCCCAGGGGAGAAACCTCGAGGACATGGCAATTTCCAGCGTTGCTACATGTCCAGGTAGCGGAGGAAGCATTGTCCGTGGCTGTAAGGCGGACCTGATATTCACGGGCGAGCTGAGTCATCATGAGGCCCTGTCGGTCATCGAACGAGGTGGTTGTGTCATTGCCCTGTTCCACTCGAACTCCGAGAGAGGGTATCTTTGGAACGTGATGAGAGAAAAGTTGGAGAGGGAAATTAAAGAGGAGTGGGCCAAGGTGAGAGGCGAGGAGGGTGGAAAGAGTGGGGTGACTGAGCAAATCAAAGGGATGCTAAATGATGAGACCGTGGAAGTGATGGTCAGTGAGAGGGATAGAGATCCTTATGGAGTTGTTGTCTTGGATGAGACGGCAGTGGAGGGGGTCAAAATCGAGATGGGAGAGAGTTAAGCGGAAGGCATCAGAAATCCGCATCCAGGCACGGCGAACGAGTTTTCGATGGCCATGACTAGTTTGCGTCGCGATCACCATGACCGGCAGGGCACCAGGTCGATTTGCCTCAGTCCTTATCACTCGGCACTGGGACTTGATGAAGGCCTACTTTAGACTGCCTTTCCTGGTTCTCATCTTCCGACTGTTGTTCGAGATCTATCGACCTGCCAACGGACACAGGAGCAAAAAAACCAGTCGCCCCCTGAGTCACTTCCTCGCCCGTCTTCACGATTACCGGGTACCTCAAGCTGTTCTGCGACCTTAACGACACTGACGCTGATAGGCTTAAGGAGATAGCCTTGGCTATTCTCGGCAGCCTTGTCGACGCCCTAGCGATGGTCTTCCTTACAGTCGCGCTCTGAGCAAGTATCCGTCATGTTCGATGCTTCTGGAACGCGCGCCCCGACTCAACCTTTGCTTCCACCAATACCTCCAATTTGATATGTGTGTTGCTGACAGTATGGCAACTCGGGTCTAGCTCGGTCCGAGCTGCACGCAGAACGTCGCGAACGCACCACGAGGAATATTGGTGCGCCGGAAGTGCTATAACTTCGACTTCTTCCGAATGCACGTAGTGTTACCAAGATTCCAGAAAGAGCATCTGCTGGACCTACTAAATTGTGTCCCTCTTACCTTATGGTGACGGAAGTGATTCGTTTGTGCTGTCGGCAGTTGTCACCGTTTTGACAGCGCCAGAACAGCACGACATTGTCAATAGACACGAACACCTTCCGTTTCTCCCTCGTGTTTAACATTGAGGTTAGTCGCAGACAAAGGTTTCCTTCAAGGACCCTCGCTATAAATATCTATCCGTCTATCTATCGTCCTCTGCTTCTTCCCCGTCCTATGATCATCATCTTCTGTCCCTCCGGGCAATTTCAGCACCAAGCAAACAGAATCGTCCTGCAGCTTCCCCAGCTCGGCTTGTCCCCAAAAAGATCCAAGACGTCAAAGTCATCAACATCAACTCCGACTCCGGTAGGATACGATACGGTACAGTACGACACGATGGGCGTGTTTATTGCAACTGACTCGACATCAACTTTCTTCGGCTCCCTGTGACATGGACTGTAGTGGATGACACGGCAAATGCACCCAAACAAATAACGCCACTAAGAATTTCTAATTCTGCCAACTGTATGAGTACGACTACAGCCACTACCAAATCGATGACGATCAAGACCATGACCATGACCATGACCACAACGGCCTGAGGAGCATCGACTCACAACGTATTGAACTCGAGAAGTCTGCGGCAGTCAATCCGGAAGAGATCTCTCCTGTTGCGGGAGACGAGAAACTGGCATTTGTCGGTGACGACGACGCGGGTCAGCCGAATATCGCAGAAGAGAGCGTCGCGAACTAAAGACAGACCGTGAACGACGGTCGCCCACCACCAGTGAGGCGGCCGCTTCCAAGTCCGGCTCCCATGGCCAGCTCTAAGCCTTCACTCCAACTGTGTAGGGTTAGGTGTTTGATCCATGATGGAACGTTCTCTTTAGGACGACCGCGATTTCGCTTATACCACTATTCGTTGTTGCTAGTAATGTGTATATATGGGGTCCAAAATGAGTATTGGATGATTTCTCGGTGCGGACATGTTGGCGGGCAGGTCAGCCGAAAACAAGAAATACGAAGCCACCTGCCCTGCGAGGTCGAGCTAGTTAAGCAAAGGCCAGACATGGAGAAGGCGTTGCTCGCTGCGGAAACGATACGTAGAAGCACTCAAAAGGATCAGTGGAAGAGGTCTAGTTGCGCGTGAGGGTGAAGAGATCAGCAATTCACATTTTTGTATTACTCCCGTATACGTTATGGCCCCAAACTCCATCCTTCGCTATATCTATGCCAAATACCGCCACCAAGCCACAGATGCAGTTGTGAGTATAATTACTTTCTCCCCACTGTTTCATGTCTCAAGCTGCTTGTGCCAGGCTGATGGTCATGTCGTCAAAGTCGTAGTACAGATAGGCGCTGCGCATGAAGGTGTCGCCGAAGCTGATGACGCTCTGCTCCTGGGGCAGGAAGCCGAACAGACAGGTCCCCGCTTCTCCGGGGACAGGCACGGCGAGCTCCGAGAACGGCACGTCGATCGACACGTAGGGATCGCTGCCGAAACCGAAGGTGAAATATCCCGACGGCATGTCGCAATCCACAAGATAGTTGCCGCTATTGTCGGCATAGACGTTGAAGGCGGTCGCGAGCGCGTTGAATAGTTCCACGGGAAGGACTGTCGTCGTGTAACCCGTGTCCATGGCCACGGGGTATGAGAATGTCGACTGCGTGAGGGCCAGTGTTTCGCCCGTGTCGTCGGTCACGGACATGTATGTCCATTCGACCTGCAGGCGGGGTGCTGCATCTGTGTAAGGAATAATGGGCAGCGTGACCAGGTCGCCCGAGTATCGTGTCGAGTCGATCTCGCCGAAGAGGATGAACCCACTGCCAGCCTCCAGGTCGTCGAGGTAGATGCTGTAAGATCGCGTGCCAATGAAGCCTTGACTCGCCAGGTCGTCCAGAAACTCAGGGTACTTGACTTCGCTCGACTCGAGGCCTTGCAGTCCGATTCCCATGATGCCGCGGTTCGTTGTGGCCGCGGAGGTAGCTACAGCCAGTGTGACGCCCGTCACTGTGGCGGAGCCGAACTCTACGGTGTCGTCGACGAAGTATCCCGACACCGCCGTGCCGTCAAAGTAGGATGTTGAGAATTCCCCGAGATTGCTGTCATCGACGCTTGAAGTCGACTGGGTAGGATCAACTGGGAGGCTTCAAGTTAATGAGTAGGTCTTGGAGAGGTCGGCAATTCGTATGGATGACTTACAAACTCCCCCAAGGCAACTTGTGCACGAGCCAGGTCCATAGACCCAGATATCGCTGCTGCCGGTGTCGATGCTGAGTTCAATGGCCTGTGCCGGAGTGCCGATTTCAAGGTCGACAAGATATTGGTAACCGGTGTTTTCGAGTGTGGAAGACACTTGGCGACGCTGGACTCCTCCTGTAACAGGGCTCTTCCTGACGGGCAAACGAAGAGATGCACGCTCGGCTTTCGCTGCTGCAGATGAGAGTGGTGCTGCAAGACATTGGGAGCATATGAGGGCTGCGAAAGCCAACGGCCACGTTGCTGTTCTCATGGTGTCTCAAGAGCGGTCACAACACAAGAGGGATTCTGAAGGATAGAAAACTTGAGCCTGGGTTAATCCCACGGGATTGCCCAACATTGAGGATGTTGGATCATTGTTATGGAGAGAGCCTCGATGGGTTTCAACCTCAGCCGCAGGTCAAAGACTCTAGCAATACGCCTCGTTGTGTCTACAGCAATGCACACTGCGGCTCGACCAGTTCGTTGGCCCTCTTGGCTTCGATTCGGCTGTGAAAGGCAGAAGTCTCAAAACGACCCATTTTGCGGGATGAGGCTGCATTAGCGTGTGCGGGCTGTGCAGGCGATTTGGGTACACCCTAGTATACCTCCGTATACACTGGGGCACTGTCATACCGTGGCCGCTGATAGGCTCAAGGTACAAGTCTGGAAGGAGGCTCTTGAAGGTTGTCGTCGGCAAAAAAGACCGTAGAACAGAATCGGTCGCTTCAGGTCTCGTTCGACTCAAGCTCGTGGACAGATTAACGGAACGGGGCGGCGCTGGTACCAACGACGCGTGGGCCCCCGGGACTGAGTCTTCCCTTCAGCAAAGGGTTATACACATACCGAGGCAAGTCACCAGTTAGTTGCTCGTAGACATATTTTCGGCCCCCTATCGAAAACCTTCAACTGGCCATAATTGGCGGTAAAGAGGCCAAAGGGGTGGGTAGAACGCTGTTGCCTGGCTGCGTCTCTACCAAACATTGGTAATCGTGGGTGCGTGGCTTCATCTCAGACTCGGATTTGTCTACGTAACATCGCGTTATGGCTCAACTTCACAAGTACTCCGTATGTAGTGATGGATCAGGCTGTAACAGCAAGGGTTTTTTTTTTTTTTGACCAGTCCATTTCCTTCCGCCGAGGAAAAACTGGAGGGAGGGGGGCCAAAATTCATCGATCCCGGGATCATGCGGCTTTCGTGTCTTTGTCTCAGCCCGCCTTTAAACGTTGCCTGCCATCTGTGCAACCAATAGTTCAGCGGTCACAGCCTGGGTTTCCCGTGTTCATGCAAGAGTACCTCGTACAGACAAGCCTAGAGAGGTTTTGGTAACGAAACTTTGCAAGTGCGGTCTCCTCCCCGCTTGGCAGGGCTAACTAGGCCAGACGTGGCTCGTTTATGCCAGCAAAATGCCGTGTGACTTCGTTTTCAGCCTCATTCTTGGGTGACGAGTTCACGAGTCTTGGCCCCTGATGGTGGTCTGCGTGGATTGCCTGACTTCAGCCGAGCAACTTGTGCCCAAATGTTGTCGCGACACAGCAATCTCGGTGGCAATTATTCTCAGCCTTATAGAGCACTTGGCAGATTCGTTTCTAGCTGCTCGGTAGAATGGACAGGCTAACTCGAAACTACTCAACTAGTAACGCTGCTAAGACCAGAACGTAAGCAGAACACGAGCATCATGCTTCCGCCCAAAGCAGAGATCCCCTTTTGGGTCTGCTCTGCCCAGTCCAGATCGTGTCCTGAAGAGCTTGGGCCACCAGACGCCTTTCCCATTCGACCAAAAATAGCTTATACAGTCCAGACGCAGAATTGCGCGCCTCGTTGGAATGTCTCCAAGTTTCCATCCCCACAGCACGTATCGCCAAAGAGCCAAAGACGCTGGAGTAAAGTCACGCAATCTGGTTTCCCACTTTACAATAGTGTGGCCACTACGCAAGTCGCCCAAAGCCACCACAACCAGCCCAACGACATCTCACGACTCTGTTTGGCGGACTCAGCTGACTTCTGGACACATGGAGGGGTTTCGTCGAACTTACCAGTTCTAGGCTGGCGCTGCCATTGGTATCCGCAATTGGTGTCTGGGTGGGACCTGTGGTTGTTGATCGAGCTGATGTGGTTGAGGGAGGAGAAACTGCCGAGGTGCTGCTGGTCAAGCGCCCAATATAATGAGTACTGAGAGACGACTGCGGCTCGGTTGTGGTCGCCACGTTTTTGCACGGTGCCAGAATGGTAGATCCGGGGGCGATACTGGCATATTCTGAGGGGCTCGCGGTGGACAGGTAGGAGAGGCAGCCCAAGAACGCCTCATCGTAGAGATCAGGCTGATATGTGCCGTTACTGTAGCATACGCAGCTTGCTTGTTGTCCGAATGCCTCTGTTGCGAAGCCGGGAATCAGCGACTCGCACGATCCCACAATTCCTTGGAAGCTAGAACAAGCTTCCAATCCGCCGGTCTCTATGGTCGCGCTCGAGAGGGCTGTGATTGTGCTTGTATCCAAGCTCTTGGTTGACGTGGGCGCTACTGTCATCGTGAGCTCGGAAGGATCGCTCATCAGTTCGAGAAGACACTGCATCATTGCCTCCCAGCTGGCCAATGCACAGCAGTTTGCAATCAACACGTAACCGGAGCATGATGCGCACATTGCATCAATACATTCCGTCGTATTTGTTTGGCAGATGTCCTGGAGACCCTCGGTGCTACAAGTGTAATTTTGTCGTTTGGCAAAAAAATTGTTCAGTGCATGTTCGTCGAAGTCGACCGCCGCGGCATTGCCAATCAGTACAGCAAGCGAAGTGATCCAAAGTGGCAACAGGAGTGTACCACGCATTCCAACCATGTTGACCTTTGAAGGAGTATACCTGCGTGCTTGGATCTAGTCAAAATGGCAGCGCTGAGAGCGGAAGATGAATGAATCCCTTTAGGCTTTATCAGGTTGGGAGAATTCGTCGTGAGCCGATCTGCTGGTGTCAGCTCTGGGCTGAGACCAATGTTGTACGGAGTAGCTGCGGGCGAACCGTCAGGTTGGAAACGATGCAGGCCACACTTTTAGTTTCCACGCAGAGAATAAATGCCTCGCCCAATGTAGGAAGACATCGCGCCACGAAAAGGCGTTTGACGTGCAGTCAGAACCGCCAGGGGGGTAAGACGTAGAGAAGTGATCCGTTAAAGGCAACGCTCCCTGAGACCAAAGGAGATGGATCCATTGTACGTGGCGGAGCAGGCATTTCTTTGACTTCCGAAACAGGTTAGTCAATTGGTATTGCCTAAGCGAGCACGTTTCAATCAGTCTCGTTGGTTGCTGTCTGAAGAAACTGGTCCACCCTCTCGCACACAACCTTCCACAATTCCATCTCCCGACTTCGCTCGGGTAGAGTACTAGTATGTGTGCACATGGCCCCCGAGTCATCCGGTGAATATTGACGGACTGTCACCGCGAGATAGGGAATGTCTGTTTGGGAGTATCTTTCTCGCAGCTTTATGGTTCCATTGACAATACGACTGGGTTTCCCACCG